ATTTTCAGTTTATGTAACCAGTGCTCCAAATTTTTAAATCCTGCAATTTCACTAAAACTGGGGTGCGCAGCTGACAGTATGGTTCTATCATGCACAATGTACTACTTGAGGAAGTCATGCCTTTGGGATTCTGTTCTTCCTGATATAAGGATTCTCTTAAGCTATTGTCGCCATTCACCCTTTGGTTACTTAAAAACTGTGGTTAGATAAAAGTACTTTACTGGTGATTTTCCTGCTAAATGCAATTGAACATTCTTCCTCTGAAGCATAGCAAATTTTTGGCCTATCTGCATTTTCTTGAACTAATTGAAGACTTTAAATGTGTACATGTCTAACATAATCAATACTATACTATAGAACTGTCATGATTGATTAATAAAAAAAAAACAAACAACAACTGCATAAATGAATTGAACTAGCAGAAAAAACCCTTTGTCTTTCATGAGAAAACTTTGGAACACAATTCTTTCCCCAAATTCAACTCTTAAGCCCTTCCATTTATTATTTTCTTGATGTTTTCCTGAGTTGTTCGATGTGCGACTTGACTAGTTTATAAATTTATTAGAAAATATTTAGAAAATTGATTAAAAATAATTACCATGTTACAATCAGATTTGAGGTTGAAGAACTGATACTGAAAATCCATTTCTGGCATTTAATTAAACATGTTTATCTTTTCATAAGAAATCACTAAGTATTTAAAAAGGTTATTTTTCCATTAAAATGCTCCACCTGAAATTTATCATGCAATAGTGCATTCATTTGTTTTTGTTATTGAGGTAACAGAGTTAATCAGAATAACAGAAATCAAAGTATTAAAAATGTAGTTGTAAATTCTTGATTTATTAGGGTAATGTAAACACTAGTTCTGTCAGATGCTGCTTATCTTTCATCACGAAAGGTGATCCTGCCCCTCTACTTTGCTCTCGTGAGACCTCACCTGGCGTACTGTGTACAGTTCTGGTGTCCTCAGCATAAAAAGGACATGGAACTGTTGGAACAAGTCCAGAGGAGGGCCACGAGGATGATCAGGGGACTGGAGCACCTCCCATATGAAGATAGGCTGAGAAAGTTGGGGCTGTTCAGCCTGGAGAAGAGAAGGCTGCGTGGAGACCTCATAGCAGCCTTCCAGTGTCTGAAGGGGGCCTATAGGGATGCTGGGGATGGACTCTTCATTAGGGACTGCAGTGACAGGACAAGGTGTAAAGTGTTCAAACTTGAAAAGGGGAAGTTTAGATTGGATATAAGGAAGAAATTCTTTCCTGTTAGGGTGGTGAGGCACTGGAATGGGTTGCCCAGTGAGGTTGTGAATGCTCCATCCCTGACAGTGCTCAAGGCCAGGCTGGATGAAGCCTTGGGTGAGATGGTTTAGTGTGAGGTGTCCCTGCCCATGGCAGGGGGGTTGGAACTAGATGATCTTAAGGTCCTTTCCAACCCTAACTATTCTATGGTTCTATGATTATGGAACTAAATACATTCGCAGAAGGAAAAAAAAAGTATACAAATATTACCCTAGTAATACCTTTCCTTTAAAGAAGATAGTAATAGACAAATGTTTGCTAATTCAGCAGGTATGTTTACAACATAGAGTCTTTAAACTTGAGCTGTCAGTTAACACATATTCAAGATTCCTGCTAACTTAAAAGAGAAGGATACCCTTGAGTATGATAGCAAGAACTGACTTCCCCCACCCCACCCTACTTCTCCCTCTATCCTACTTCTTATCTCTCATTAAATAATAACTCTCATCTAGTGACATCAGTCATTTTGCATCAGCCTTTTTTATGGCTTGAAGAGAATGTTACGTGTGGAATAAGCATGAGTGGCATTTAAACTGAAATGTGTGAAATCTTCATAGATTTTGATAATAAAAGTGGAAAACAAATCATGAGTTGGTATTAACATTAGCTGAGAAATGAAAACGGATGCAGTAATTTGCAATGCACAACAGTTTGACCTGTTCTGCCATCACTGAGCTGCAAGTATTTACAAATGTAAACTAGTGCACTGTCAAACCTTGAGACTGGTAAACTGTACCCAGTGGGTTTGGGTAGTGAGTGCAAGGAGGGTGAAGCTGTGATCACAGCTGTGATCCTCTTCTCATTTTACTGTGAGGTTCTGCTGTCTTTAAATGACTTTGAGTCACTTGGATGTCTTACAGAAGAAGAAAAAAAAAGGAAATTATCATCCTAATAGCGGGTAAAAACGAACAGAAAAGTAAAATGCATAACCACTAATAGGAAATGCTGAGAGTTACTGGACTTTCTCTGATTTATTTCTGCTAAAGATCTGGCTAAAGGGAATGATCTACTTTTTGGCTGCTCAAACTGAACACTTGAGTAGATGATAGTTTTGAAGATGTCATCTGAAGTATTACACAATTAGTATGAATAATTTTAAAATATTCTGTTCCTGTAACAGATCATGAAATGCCTCATCTAATGGACTGAGAAGCTTAGAGCCAAGCTATTCCCAAAACCAGCAAGCCTGTACATTTCTATCATTTGGTATCACAAAATTTGTCATTTAAAATTTGTGACTGAATAATAGCTCCCAAAGAATGATCTAACTTTGGCTGAGCTTTGCTTAAGAGTTAGGCTACACCTCCAAAGATGGCACTACAGGGTGGGAGGGGTGAAGCTGTTTGCTGGCATGGGAAGAATTGAATGTGCAGCCAAATATTGCCACAATGAAAGAGTACTTTTCCATTGCACCTACTTTCCTTAAATCTTGGCTAAGTTCTGGCTGTATTAATAACAATCTGCTTGTCAATTCTGATGTATTGTAAAAGTAAAGCTTTTGTAAATTTGGAGATGTTGCTTGCTTTGGGATTTCTTAGTCCCTGTCAACGGCTCACTTATCCTATATCAAATTGACACAAGTAATTTAGGATTCTTTAGTTGATTTTAGCAAATAGTCCCCCCACTTTATTGTTCTAATTATTCATTTGATGGTTTTATTACAACTGTACATCTGGATTTTCATTTTTAAAGATTACTGATATAAAAGTTTTCTCCAGCCTACCCCATGTAAAACCGTGTTTTTGATGTAAACCCATATTATGGTAATGTGTGTAGCACTGCACATAGCATTTGCCAACTTTTGAATCAACCTACTTTGAGGGTTGGCAATTGGCTGGCAATTTCCTTCTCTTTAAATATTCCTGTTAGGAGTTTATTGCTTTTTGGTAGCTTGAGAGCAGTACAGCACATATTCGACTCTTATATTTAGTTCCATCTCCATTTTAGTTACAGACCTTATTGCTATAATTAAAAACTATACAATTTGTGTTTATTATTCTATATGCCTTGTGTGTGTTCTATCCTTTCACTTCGAGAGCACTCCCCAAGGTAACACAAAATAATAACATGCCATATGGCAAATAGAGTCAGCTGTACACCACGCAGCATCTTTTATCATGCAGCTTTTACAAAATGACATTCCCAAGTTTGTAACTGATGAATATGGCATGTCCTAGAGAAACTCTAGCTGTATTATTCTGCTGCTTCCATTAGAAGCATCCTTACTGACATTCTGAGCCTTTTTTTAACATAAATGCAGCAGCCGTCATTTTGCAAGAATCAACAACCTACAAAGGAACAGGCAGAATTTCTCAATGTGCTAAGCTTACCAAACTTCAGAAAGTTAGCATAAACACAGTATTACATTATCATGACTTGCACAACATATAACTGATACAGTGTAACAGTAATAATGAGTTTGTTGTTTGTTTGTTTTTAATGTCTGTATCGGTCCTGGGGATACATAGAATGTGTTATGTCAGTAGTGGATTTCCACAGGTTTGGAGTCAATCATCTGAACTATGCTGTGTGGAAGCATTATATACTGTTCCATGAAAGTTAAAAAATAAGCATAACACAGGTCTGTAGATGGGCTCTACAAACGTATGCCTACAATGCTAAATTCTAAAGGGATTTTCATTTGTATATGTACAAAATGGATGTGATAACTTGATATTACATAGGAATGCGAAACCCGGCATTTCTTACCAGTTGATGTGTGTTGGTATAGGAGCATCTCGCATTAGCATTAGTTTTATGAGTGGAAGGAGAGGCAAGTATTAAACAGACAGACAGGCAAATGACAGATATGCAATTTCTAAGTAAGAGTATTTCTTTCCATCTTATGCTTGTGGCAAAAATATAATTCAGTCTATTCTAGAAGTAAGTCTACCTAAGGAATTAAGAAAATGTTTCTGTCGTGAGCAATTGCATCATGTAACATAACAGTTAGCTTATCTTCTCAGCTTGTTTTAGGCTGCAGGGAACATAGAGTCCCCATTGCATTTGCTGCTCTCACTATGTCACTAGAAGTGGTACAGCAACTTTTCACCAAAGCAGCGGAGGAGAGGAGCAAAGGATGAATTGTTGCTCACTGTTCTTCCAGATTTGCTCTTTAGTAAATTCATTTTTACTCTTCTCTACCCAGGCTTAGGAAATAGAAGTGTGCCGAAGCTCCAAATGACCTTTCCATCTGTCACCAATCTAAGACGGAAGAGGCAGGTCATAACACATGATACTTTTCTGCAGTGCGCGTGTAATGCCCCAAGAGATCAGCACCAGGCTATGATAATGTCAGGTTTGAGAACTTAGAACTGATTTGTTGAGAAAGAACAGTAAACCACATAGCACAACTGTCTTTTACTCCTTTGGAAAAGTATTGCTTGTTTGGTTTCCTCTAAGAAATAGTGCAATATTTTATTTAAACAAAATGAAATACAGAAAATGGATTTCATTCAAAGATATGTCAAATACCAGTGTAGTAAATATCTGCACTGAGGGTAATGACAATTTTGCTCAAAAAGGAGATTTATTGTGTGAGTGGGTGGGAGTAGGGTATGTGTGTGTGCATACATATGTTCATAGACACACAAAGTGGTAATTCTCAGAAACAGTAGGGAGGGGCAAGGTAAGCATAAGCTATTCTACATGAGTCTTTACACATTTCACACTTTATACAGAATCACCTGAATTCCTTACCTGACATTTCAGAAACTTTTTGTCCTTAATTTTTCTTTCTTGCTTATCTGCATCATCTCTACTGCCATTCTCCACTGTTTTCTTGCCTCCTTGTCACATACGAAACCAGTGCGGACTGTATATTGATAAACCTGCATTGACAAATACCTGAGAGTTACAGATGGGTAAACAAAAAACATTTATTACTCTTCTTTTTGTCTTCAATGAAAACAGAGAGAGAACAATAAGAGACCTGGGGTCAAGTTCTGACGTAATAAGTTTGCAACCTTATTTTTATATAGGTAACCACTTAAATCCATGCACATAATCCATTCATGTAATTATTTTTTTTTTCTGAAAAGAATGTGGCAATACAAACACACAGAAATAATGTGTCTTAAAACACAAAACGTGGGCTTATGAGAAACAGAAACTACTAGTGTTTGGCATGTTGTCCTTTAGAAACCCAAGCAAAACCTTCAGAGTGACCAGCCATGTTTAGAAGTGCCAAAAACTAGTTGCAGCATTTATCTGTTTTCTTTTAGAGCTGATCTTGAAGTTTATAACAAGGTATCTATCAGAGACACTGCAGCGTTCAGTGATTTTTCACAGAATTCTGATCAGGCTTACAAGAAATTCCCCTATACTGTAAATGGCAGTTTTCTGAATTGCAATCTAAAGGAAGTTTGTCTGTTTCCTTTTCTCTTTTGTCACTCTTTCATGGGTTGTTTGGTTGTTTTGGTTTTGTTTTTTTTGTTGTGTTTTTTTGTTTTAATTCCAGAACCTATTTCCTGGCTTTTCCCCAACTCTTAACAGTCCCTTCTCCAGCTCTTGTGCCTCTTTTTTGCACCTTTGCTTTTGAACAATCATGTCTTTAGGCATGAGTTTGTAAATAAAAACTATATTGTTCTCTTTTATGAACTTAGCTATTCCTAACATTCTCATTTGTAATCCTCTGACTTCCTTAATTAAGTCCATTATAGTTATAAATGCCTGTATGGGGAATTTGATCATGATGATGATGAAACGACATAATTTTGTCATACAAGCAGGTATGAAAAACAATCAGAATTTGGGAATGTATAATGGTACTAATGAATTTTAACTGAACTCAACTGTAGACTCTTGGGGCGCATTTTCTAAAATGAAAGCCATTATCTTTAAATTGATTTCTACATTCCTGGGGAATTTATTTGCTTGAGAAACACAACAGCCCTATTTGTTAGCCCTTTTGTAGTAGGATTTATGTCAGAATGAAGACAAAAAGCATAGAAATACTTAAAGTGGCTTCTTTTAAATGATGAAAATGGTTCTACCCTATCTCTACCATGGAGATCTTGAGTGTTCAATCCCAAGAACTGCACAAGCCTCTGCAGAAGCCTGCCTGCCACTGAACCTGGACTGGCAGCCTTCAGCGGCTCAGACACACAAAGTATGGTGGACAGAGCCTTGAATACAAGATGAACTTAGGCTAAAACGAGCAGAATTTGGCCCCATGTTTCTCTTTGTCTCGCTGGCTAAAAGTGTTACATATAAGCACAGTCATTAAAATTATGACAAGTACCAGTTAGGTTGTGCATCATTTATTGCAGATTTCTGTGACTGGTCACACCTTTATATGCTTTAACATGTAGTATGTGTTTCCTTAGAGCATACCACATTTTATGAGTGTGTCCAGCTTTTCACAGGGAGGGTATTAAATGAAAAGCATTCTATTTGCCTGGAAATTCATGCCAAACACCAGACACTGTGATTAGCTAGGAAGAACCATCTGTCATGTGCCCACCCCCACGTTGCTGAGGAAGGCAGAGACTGAAGGTGAGAAGTATATTTACTTTTGTCAACAAAACCAGCTGTTGCCATTACCTTTAGCTGTAAGGCAAACATGCTGGAAAAGGTGACTACCTATTGCGATTCTAGTGCACTGGGACCAACTATGATTGTTGATGACAAGCAAACCTCTTAAAATCCAGCGGAAAACTGCTTTATGGCTTATGTCAGGAGGGCATGTACAAACACAGATCCAGCTGGAAGCTGGAACCAAGAAGCAGAAACTTCAGGCTAGAAGAGTATCGGGATGAGTTCAAGTAAGGATCCCCCCCCAATTCTCCCGCCTTCCTTTTGGTAGAAAATTATACTGGAAAAGAGAACTATTTTTCTCTAATGATAACATAAGATTCTGAAATTAAGCACAGCAGGTAGAAACATCCGGCACAGATGTAAAAAAAATACTGCATATTCATATTCTGAAATGTTTTCCAGTGCTGACAGCTAACTATTCCAAGTGGAAAAGGTACATGCTCTGGGGTCATTCGTTCTCTGCCAATTTCCCTTCTTACATCTCTGGCACTGTATTTTGGGGGCTGTGTCCTCTAATCTCTGTTATTCTTACCGATATCCATCAGACTAAGAAAGTTATTTACAGAGTTAAATCATTTTGACTTTGAATAGGATTGCAGCAAATAGGTATATTTTCTACATTTTTGAGAAAGGGAAATGGGGCATTTCTTCACTAAAAAGACTTTATTCCCCGGCTACTTTCTTTCATATCATACAAGAAGAGTACTGTGCTACGGTGTGAATGTACCTAGAGCATTTTTCAGAGGCAAAATATAAACATTGGCAGCAAAGGGCACCTCATGCAAATGTGTTTCCTGAGTGATAGCTCTTCCTCCCTGATGACTCTGGCAAGACATAATAGTTTGGGAAAGTAAGTGGAGTGCCCTGCCCTTCAGCTCTTTTCCCCAGGGCATGTACATCCCCTTGCAAAAAGGATTATGACAAAATAAAACATTCATTTGGGTGGAGCTTCTTTCAAAATACGTTCAGTATATCACTGTAGAAAATAGTAGAGATAAAACAGAGCTGTAAAGACACACTTTTAGGAAGAGAAAACAGGCTATCATGCCTAACCCTATATTGCACTCATATTCCTTTTACAGCCCACCTGTCAGTCCTGTTATCCTTGTCTAGAAAAGAATTTACAGTAAGTCTCTGCTTCAATCAGTTTCCATGGTAACTTGGTTCTGTTTTAAAACCTTTACATAAAAATGGCTTGGTTAAAATAATAATGAGCTGGAGTGATTGTCCACACCTGAACTACATCTTTCCCATTGCTCAAAAATAATCAGATGGGGTGTCACTCCATCTGTGCTGGTTCCTTTAGCTTCTACAAGACTGTCTCACTAACTAAGCCAGATCAGTTTCTTTACCATCTGTAAATCTCAGTTTTCAGAAGCATATAGCATTCAGGGTACTGACTAGTGTTTATACATTACATGCAGTGAAGCAGAGTAAAGCATGTTAGGGTCTGAAGTCTCGAGTTCACTGGGGAAGGATCCCTCTGTGCATACAGTACCTACAGCAGGGCTGAAAGCTTCAAGGACCACAGCATCTTTTAAGGAATGAACCAGAAGAGGCAGACTGTCTCTCTTCTAGAAAATGCTTTTCACAAATGTAGGGAAAAAAATTTCCTTTGGGCCAGATCAAGGGGAAATAAAAGTTCAGAAAAAAAAAACAAATGAAGGTTTTAATTCATTCTAAGAATCTTGTGATACTGGCCCATCAGGCTTATCTCTTGCACCCATAATTTCTGATTCTCAGAATGAGAATTTTGACTCAGTTTTACTTGGTCTTTTACACTATTTTTCATAATTCTGATTACTTTATACTGTCTCAAATCTCATCTAGGAAAAAGTCAATTTTCTTTTTAATGTAACTTAAATACTTCAGTGATGACACAAGTTTCAGTTACAGGGAAATCTTAAAAGAACTTCAAATGTGGATCTGGTAGAGGTCTTCAGCAATTACACTGAGAATTCGCTGCATTTCACAGAAGGTGACACCTTCCCTGTGATAACTAAAAACTTGTATCTATTCTGTTCTAGATCTCTTCTTCTAAGTTGTGTTGGATAGCTTAATATTTGTATAGGAAGCTTTTTGATCCATAGGAGGCACCAACAGAATTTATGGAAAATAATTTTACACTGCTGTATCTTCCAGGTAAGCACTGAAAAAGCTGCTGAATGTAGGCCTACACAACAAATTTGTCCAAACAAAGGCTTGGTAAAGACCTCATGTTTTGGCATGGCACAAAGTTGTATTATGTTCCTGTTAGGACTGGTTGCCTGGGTGGTAATGTGCATTGTGTTTCAAAATTTGGGTAGTATGTGATATTCTACTTAGCAATACACAGAAGGGCACTGCTCAGGGATTTTTCACACCTTATTTCTGAATGGCACTACTTATGCAAGGTATATGCATGCTAGATTCTTCATATGGGTTTACTTTTGAGTAAACTAAACTTTGGTTCTCATCCACTGATTCATCTAGATAATATGACAACCTTGAAATTAATTTGCGATTTAAAAGGAAAAAATCAGCATCCTTGGCCTATACCAAATAATAGGGGTGTACTAGACATTCTATTTAGGCCTACATAATTCTTTCCATGACAACTTGAAAAAGCAAGCTTTTAAATCTATTTTTTCCACCTCTTATTTTTAAGTAGCAGTTTCAGTTACCCCTTATGTCCTAACACTGTCCTATATACATTAATTTCTGAGGGCAGGGCACTGTCAAATCAGGGTATCATAAATCTACTGAATTCCTCTCATCAGTCTTCGCAATAACATCTTCACAGTACTCCTGCGCATCACTAAACTATGACCTTCTCTGACTGATCTGTGCAGACTATGCTTAATTGAACTGTGCTTTTCCAGTGGGCATTTTAACTATCATACAACGATTTTTTCTAAAGCTGACATCCAAACAACTGGTCTCCTGTTTCCAGCTGAAAGAATAAATAACATCTGATGCTTTTCTGATTGAAAAAAAGTAGTTATTCTTAATCCTTTAAACCTCTTTTAGCTCAATTAAACAATTACATATGCTTACACTTTTCCATGATTTTTTTACTCCTTTCATAATCCTTTGTATAAAAAGGGGCCCTGGTTCTGTGCCTCTTTTACTATTGTAGCACTACTGATTTCATCCTGATGCTAATCTGTGCCCCAGAAATACTCTAGTTTGATGTGAAAACTGATCATACTCATTGGCTGCTTGAGCTGGGAAATTTCTTGTTAGTCATGGGCTTTAATACAGTTCTTATTGTGTTTAACTAATCTGCTAATTACTGTGTAGTGTATATTTT